AATATTTCCATAATTCATTACTGACTAATTCATAGCTCCAAGTAAAGATGAGTTTAGTTCAGTACAAATGCTACTTGGCCTAAATGATTCATTTTCAATAGCTTTAACCGTAGTTGTTAATTAGGGAAAGAAAAAAACCTGAAGGAAAATAAAATTTTACAGATCCTATCTTTTTTCTCTGAATTAGAAAATAAGTGTGAATATTCTTCCAATTCAGAAATATTCTGATCAGTTTGGTATGAAATATAGAACTCGGAAGCTTGTAATGGGTGTAAATGATAGTGTATAATTAAAATATCGATGTTGCAACTGTAACAGAAATAATGTTTCCTTTGATGTATATCCAAAATAAATATTTTATGAAAATGCGTCTACGAATATTTTGTTGTAAAAAAATTTTTATTCTGTGCAATGGTTGTCAAGATTCGATGTTCTCGATGATAGTGAAAGTTTTTTAGCATAGTGAAAGTTTTTTAGCTCATTAATTAGAAAGCTGATGGAGAACAAAGAGAGTCATCGAATTTACCAGTTCAACGAACGGATGGTGAACGGAAATCGGTTGATTGCCAAAATGAAATCCGAATTTAAATGACAAATGATTCATGCTGATGGAAGGTTGCCGATTCTTCGTCATGTGAGGAAACTTTCTCAAAATTACCGAATTTGAGTGTTGCTATGAAAAATCCTGTCGGAAAAAAGCTGTACAATTGTGAGGAATGCAAGAAAATTTTTTCTACATATTCGGATTTAAAACCTCATATAAGGACTCACACCGGTGAAAGGGCCGTTCGGTTGTACGGAATGCAATGGAACTTTCGCTGTTTGAAAGATCATACTAGAAATCATACCGGCGAGAAGTCATCCGGTTGTACGGAATGCGAGAAACATTTCTCCGAAAAATCAAGTATGAGAAAGCATGTGACTGATATGTTAAAAATTCAAAAAATTAAATTTATGCTTTCCTTTTCAGTAAAATTTCAACTTATTCGGTAGAGAAAAACGGTTTCAAATCAATCTTTTTCATTTACAAAACTTTGATTAAAACTGGATAAATTTGGTCAAAGGAATGATGAGGAGTGACTAATATGACTTTACCATTATGTGATAAAGTCATTATGTGACAAATTATGATGGAAAAGATCAAAATAAACGTTAAATAATTAATAATTGAATTTGACCAAGAAATAAAATTGCAGACGGTAGTTGAAACATTGCAGAAGCTAACAGATAACGATCAATATCGTTCAAACGCTAATGTCATGCTTCAAGTGTTATTATTTAGCATAAATATTAAACATAAGAATTTTGGCATTTTTACCTAGCTATTTTGCCATGGCTAGATAAAATAAACTTAAATGTGAGTAATTTTTTTTAAATGATTTAATAAATTTGTTCATTTTTGGCAAAATTTTATAGCTCACTTGTGATAGCCTCAAAATTATGCTAAATTTAGCTACGCAGTATACGCTGACCATAGCGCTACCACACGATAGTATTCTACGTTATCACTGCATGCAATGCTAACATGGTTGTTCCTTCGTAATTACAAACATCTCTCCGGCTGCAATAGCAGTAAGAAATTATATCTTTTGATATTTTTTCCATAAAAAAATTCGCTGCTTTGTTTCGGTTTTGCAAATTATGCTAACAAAGGCAGCGACAACTTAATTAATGATCTTAAAAATTCTACATCATTTCAATTTTTTGTTATCCTGCAATAGATTGTTTTATTATTTTGATTTCTTTGTATAAAAGTGTTTTTAAAATAGCTAAAAGTTGGCTGGTTTCAGATATGTCACAATTAATATCAATTGAATAAAAATATTTATGGTAACTTTGAGATATCATTAACACTGATATCAACAATACTTTAGCGGTACCGATCGTACAGATGATAATGCAAGTACCGGTGTGGTATTGGCATTAAGTAGTAATAGTAATCGCGATGTCAATCTAACCGAGTGAGAAAGTTTGGAACACTGAATACTATTAATATTAAAATAAGAGCAGTTTTTCCGTATATTGATAATATTAGCTTACTTCATTGCATCAACATATTCGGCACTTTGGAGCATCTTTAGTGCAAAAAAAAAAAATGTATCGATGGAAAAAGTTTATTCTATTACAGTGGATATGGATGTAACTATGAATTAAGGTAGAATTATAAATTTCCTGCTGATTATCATTTTCAACTACAGTTAAACATTTTAAAAAAAAGTTTACTGAAATTCTCTTACATAGTTTGTGTAAATGTATGATAACATTAGTTCTAAATACTAAATTTTAGTTAAATTTAATGTCAGAAACAGAAAAGAATTGATAACGCACAGGCTAATATCATTTAACACTATTATTCTATCACGAAGATGAAATCAATTCACTTGCTATCACTTAGATAGAAAATCCTTAGATGAAGTTGTGCAATTTGAATATTTATCAAAGAAGATTCACGATATCACTGATTTGACTTCAGTGTATCCATATCTGAAAGATTAAACATAAAAATTTGAATTTCAGTTATTGCGTCACAGAGGTTGCTATAGTGCAGCTATGAAAAGTGGTGATTGTAAATATTGGTTCCTGCTCTAATTCATCAATTACAATTGGAAATGCATGGTTGGGAATCCTATCTGTACCGGTATGTTTTTATCTCGACATAGTAAACAAATTTATTGCAAGGAAAAGTTTAGAATATTTGTAATTTGATTGATTGTAATTTTACTGTTTACATCTGAAAGATTAAACACAAAACTTTCTTATCTTTCTTTTAGATTAAAAATCCAAAAAAATTTTCATTTCAGTCGTTGCGTAGGTCACAAAGGTTATTTGAGAATTTTTTTTAGCTAATTTTAATTAATATTATGCATGCCACACTATTTATTTGTGCTGAACATGAGCTCATGTTAGCTAAAAGTGTAAACTAAAAAAAGGTAACTTTTAAGCTAGAGAATCTTTCTAACCCAAGTTGAAATCATGAATTATCATAAATTATGATCATTCATGACGTCATCTAATTATGCAATAGTAAATAGAGATAAATAAAGTTTTAACATTATCAACTATAATTTAGAAGGAAGGAATTCAAAGAGTATCTGTGTAGCAGCAATTTGTAGTTGTGATAGCGAATTTGTTAGCTGTTTGGAACAGAATGGCTTCTCTGACGTGAAGCGAGAATATCTGTCAATACCAAAACGCAAAAAAAGAAAATGAAGCAATCAAATGAAATTATAATTAGGCAATCATCTCTGAAACGATTTAAAACTATTTAAACACTTCAATATTATTTGTATATATGTGCAATAAAATAATGTGAAATTTAACCAGCATATCAAATAATATCGAAAACTATTACAGTCGATTATCAACAACAATTGTTAATACACAATGATATAAAAAATATTTATGGTAAATTTGTACCGTTGGAGTAAACCATTACATTGAAATTAAAATGCAATTATATTCTGATCTCTAAAGAAAAACAATCGTTCTTATTTTAGTGATGATGCTATTTTAGTCTAAATTAAAATCATGTAAATGCTATTTTAGTTCAAATTAAAATTATTCTTAATCATCTAAATTGTCTATTCAGGAATGCTTTTCACTGGAAAGAAATGGGAAATTACTGAACATATTTTTTTAACGCAAGTGCAATTAAAATATGTGGCACGTGCGTACAAAAATAGCAATATGCGTAACTCACGTATTCAATAGATTCTATTTCCACTCTTACTGACCACAAAATACATGCAATTTGAGACGGATCATTTGCATAATGATGCCAATTCCACAGAAATTTTTAAATTTTGAAAGGAACCTTTCAAAAGCTCTCCATGTTCATTCGGCGCATTGTTTGAAAGTTTGTCTGAGTTCGTTAGGATGCTCGGGAATGAGTTTTAGGATTGAATTTTAACTAATTTTCAGACTAGTAGTAACCAATTTTCATTTAATTTATGAATAGCGAAAAATTCCTTCCCTTATTCTATCCATAAATGATAGGCGAGATATTCAGAGAGAATATCATCTGTAATGGATTGTCACCTGTAAAAATTAGCCAATTTATTGCCCGCTCCAAAAAAAAAAACAATTTCATTTGTTAAAAAGTGCTCTTGCGATGGGTGTTATGGCAAAATTCCCGAGAGGAAGAAAAGGCTGGGATTGCATGATTTTTAGATGGCGTGAAATTTGCATATCTTCGCGCGCATCTATTCATATTCTATGAATGTCTGTTGCACTTCCTAACCGAGACATCATCTCATTCTTATGCATGTATTATCTTCTTTCTTTCCGAAATTATGGATCATACATATACTGGAGTAGTTTCTTGGCCTTTATGTTTAAAAAAAAATAGTTCGATTCATTTTTTATTACATATCCTTGTTATATTGCAAAAATTTGCATATTAATCATTTAGCAAGCCATTAGCAGAGGATATTTAAGTATAGGTTATGTATTCTTAACATTCATTTCTCATAGTATTGGATTTTTTGTAACGTAAGCTGTTAAATGATATGTTTTGAGATAGCAGTTGTTTGAGGGATGAGTAAAAAATTTTTAACCCATTTTTTTCCACATTCTTGTAGGTTATTCTTGAAGATATCTTTACAGAAATACGGAAGCTCTTTTCTTTTCAAATCTTAGTCTTCCTTTCATGAAAAATTTTTGACACTCTTTGATAGTGAATGATACAAGGACACTGTTGAATAATAATGGTACGATAAGAAAATGAAGAAAGTTAAGATAGGATATTAGTTTATAATACTTTGTCATTGAATTTTAGGAGAATTTTTATAACTATTCTGGATTTCTTTTCAGCCGAAATTAAGTAAATGATCTTCTGTATTTAAGCGCTGTTAACTTACATGTTTTTATATTATCTTTTCTGATAACATGAAGTTTCACTCAAAGCATTATTTAAAACTGATTAAAGCCGAGAACTTGAATTAATTGTGATTTAATCTAATGCAGTATGATCTGTACACAATTTTAGTTTTGATATCGACATGAGCTCGAAGAAACCGGTTTTGAAAGAAGTACCTGATATTGTGGTCAATACGGATACGGGTGCCACCTATAAAAAGGGAAGATTTTTGGGCAAAGGGGGTTTTGCACGGTGTTATGAACTTACAGACACGAAGGACCACAAATTTTATGCTGGAAAAGTAGTTTCAAAATTACTTTTATTGAAAAATCATCAGCGCGATAAGGTATATGCTTTTTTTAATCATTAGACTTTGGAAATCTGAAGAAGCATTTACTGCTTCTTCAGTTTCCCAAGCTCTTATTCATTTCACCCATGTCTTTGTTTAGCTAATTTCAGAATAGCTTTGCACTATCATCCACTAAGGATGTCTTGTTAACCCTAAAGCCGTTCTATTTTCTGCACATGTTTTATTCATCCACATCAATTGTGAAAATACTTGATGGATCTATATCAGATGGTTGCAGATGGCTCAAGAGATCCGGATCCACCGAACCTTACATCATAAGCATATTGTGAGAATGGATGGTTTCTTCGAAGACGCTGATAATGTTTACATTTTGTTGGAATTGTGTCCTCGTAGGGTCTGTTTTTTTAATATTACAAAAATTCTAACGTCCCTTTACAAATTAAAATTTGAAGTCTACATTCTCTTTGATGGAAACCTTAATTTTCTTCATTTATTTGATTACACTGCTCAGTTTTACTTATTATTTGAATTGTATATCTTACTACAAGTCATCATTTTATATCATTTTCTGTTTACAATTCGTATGTTTTAGTCTTTGATGGAACTGCATAAACGTCGCAAATATGTAACTGAACCGGAATCACGTTACTTCACGAAGCAGGTAAGCAGACTTTACTAAAATATGATTTTCTTTTTGTTCATTCCATGTAATTTTACTCTGATAGAGTCTAACCAGTGCATTGTCTATCATTTGTTGCGATTATCAAGATGACTTTTTTGAGTTTCACCGTCCACTGTTTTTTTAACATTTATTTTTTTAACAGATTGTTGAAGCATGTGAATATCTTCACACGAATAAAATCATTCATCGAGACTTGAAATTGGGGAACTTATTTTTGAATGAAGATATGGAAATTAAAGTTGGTGATTTTGGTTTGGCGACAGTAGTAGAAGTAGACGGCCAAAGGTTTGTTTCAATTCTGGAAATTCGGCATCAAGCGACAACTTGATCAGCAGGTTGTTAAAGAAACAGCTTAAGTGCTGTTATTATCATTCCTTTTTAAGAGTCCATACAAGTAATATTTTTCGTATAATTACATCAGGCACATGTTGCCGTTAGTGGAATGGTATTAAGTTTGAAAAATTTTAGGAGTTAAACCCAGATATTGTCTCCTTCCTACAAAATATTAATTACTTTCTTGCTTTTTGAAAGTGCTTTCTTGACAGGAAGAAGACGTTATGTGGCACACCTAATTACATCGCACCTGAAATGCTCGATAAAAAAGGTCACTCCTACGAAGTAGATATTTGGGCAATTGGCTGTATCCTGTATACATTATTAGTGGGGAAACCTCCATTTGAAACTTCTTCTCTTAAGGTATTTTTGTTGCTAACATGGTTTTTTACTATGCGAAATTCCATAAATTTTCTTTAAACATTCTGAATTTCACAAATAAATAAAAAATATTTAAAAAATTTTACAAATAAAAAATATTTCAGGATACATATAACAGAATAAAGAACAACAATTATTCAATACCAAGTCGTATTAGTAGCGAGGCTGAACAACTCATTCGACGATTGCTGCAAACTGACCCTGAAAAACGTCCTACTATTCACGAGGTCTCTGCTTTTAATTGCTGCATCGCTTTCTTTATTTAAGAAATTTATCAACTGTCAAATTTTCACAAAGACTTTTAAATCTTTAACATTTGATACCATTAAAAATTGTATTTTTGGCGTAAATGAAGATTAATAAAAATGATCAATATATACATATATCACATTACTTAATTCTCTATTAAGTAATGTGATATTTGTTCAAATTTCAATATAAAATGAAATTTGTTTTATCCCCAACTATTTTGCACTAAATATATAAACGGAATTGGAATCTACTGATTTCAGGTATCGTATTACGCATTTTTCAAAGGTTATACTCCGAGCAGACTACCAACTTCGTGCCTTACAATGGCTCCAAAATTTGCGAATACGGAAATTCCGGATAAGCGTTCTGCTCTAAACGAATTGAGACAGGAAAATATTATGCTTAGCCCAGAAGAACGCGTGCGCAAGGTACAAATAAAAATTGTAATTTTTAGGTTTTTGAATCTGTTGCTACCTACATCATTGAAGAACATGCATTTACAGGATCTTTTAGCAGCGCCGGTACGTCCGTTAACTTCCGTTCCTGAATTACAGGTTCTTCCAGGTGTAAAACATCGTACAAGTGACCCACGTGGTAAGTGCTACCCATATATATTAAAATTGCCTTCGAAAGCAATGTATAACAAATATTATATGCATGTAAGCAACTGTGGCAGTTTACGCTAATTTATTTGATAAAAGCACAGTTACTGACAGACCAGAAGCAGAATAGCAATGAAATATTCACTAAGGGTTGGCTTCTCTGTTTTGAGGTTGATAAAAGTCATATTCATGTATTCTTCGGGCTTTCATCCATCCAAGTTTTATCATACTTATTCGGTTTCGAGAAATATGTTAAATGTTGAAATACAAAAATTATTAATTGTATTGGTTTGCGGAGTTTAAGTTTGGAGAAAGCTTATAGTCCTAAATTTATTTGTGGAACGGATTCTTTATTTCATTCACAAATTCACTATTTAATTCAATAGCTCATCTTTCTACATTTTCCCATCGATTGTTGAAAATATCTAAAGGAATTTTCTGGAATTTATTATTTAATTGAAAATTTTTTTCTTGACTGCGATAGAACGCAAAGATTTCCTTACATAAGTATGGGAACTATATTCATGAAAATAACACTGTAATTAAGTTATCTCGCTGAGGGTTGGCTTCCTTGTTTTGAAACTAATAGAAGTCATGTCCATTTTATTCTTCAGGCCTTCATCTATCCAAGCATTATCGCGCTTACTCGGTTTCGAAAAGTATGTAAAAGCTGAAATATAAGGATATTAAATATTTATTGTGTTGATTTACGAAGTTTGTAAGTTGGAGAAGGCTTGTGGTTCTAAATTTACTTCTGGAACGAATTCTTTGTTTCATTTAGGGATTCATTTTTTTATTCAATAACTCATCTTACATTTCTCTTCCATCGATTATTTATATCTCTGCGAATTTTTTAAAACTCATTATTTTGAAATTAAAATTTATTATTTCATCGAATATTTCTCCTGAAATTTTCAGAGAATCTTTTTAGTACTCTAATCAATTCTTCTGCAATAGACCCATTTTCACAATAAAAATCTATGTTCATGAGAATAATACTGCAATTAAGTTAAGAAATCTTGATATTCTAATAAAAACGCAAAAAAACTTTTTGCATTTCTACAACTCTTTAATGTTAAGTAATATTCAATAGATATTAACTACATTTTAATAAATAGAGAGTAATTTTCCCACTACGGAGCTGTTGGTGGCTATTATATAAAGGAATTTGTTTTGAATTATAAAATGTTTTCAGCCGCAGGAATGTTGCATGCAGCTGGTGATCATCCATCTGATTGTTATTTGTCAGATTTGTGTAGACAGCTAGCGGACGTTGTTAATAGTAAGCCAAAGGACAATTCAAATATTCGAGATGGTAATTAAATTTTGTTACTCAGATTCAACTTTTCATTCCAAATTTCCGAAAACTGATTCTATTTTATTACTGTTCACGTAGATGACCTGGAGGATCCTGCTGCTATGCCAGTTTTCTGGATATCAAAATGGGTTGATTATTCGGACAAGTATGGATTAGGATATCAACTTTGTGACAATTCCATTGGCGTTGTATTCAATGATAATACGAAGATGGTTCTGGATGCAGCGGGAGAGTGAGTCTGCTTTAATTTTGTATTGAGCTTTCATTTTTTTGGCTTCCTAATTTCAGTGACGCATTTATCCTTCCTAATATTTTCAAAGGTGATGGCATTGCTTAATGAAAATTCCAGCAGTTTTGTAGGTTTCAAATGTGTTTAATTCTTGAATTAAAAGTACCATCGTGACTGCAATTTCTAATTAAGTTTTTCAAATTTAGACAAGTGCAGTACTTGGGACGTGAAAATGATGAACATTATTACACAATAAAGCATTACCCCGAAAAACTGCAAAAAAAGATCACTTTACTACAGTATTTCAAAAATTACATGTCTGAGCATTTACAAAAGACTGGTGCTGACATGCCTATCCGTGAAGGTGATGAATTAGCTCGTTTGCCTGTTCTCCGCATTTGGTTCCGAACGCAGTCCGCTATTGTACTTCATCTATCCAATGGAACGCTACAGCTTAACTTTTTCGAAGTGAGAAAAATTTTTATATTTTAAATCTTATTTCATTTGAAAATTGGATTGATAATCAGGGTTCAAATTTGAATTTTTCCATGAGATTTATAATGTATTCAAACTTGCGTACACTTGAAGTGGCTCTTAAGGATCATACGAAGCTCGTGATTTGCCCATTGATGGGAGCTGCGACATATATCGACAGCGAACGCAATTTTCGCGTTCTCAAACTTTCTGCGCTTGCTAAGTATGGATGCCCGAAACCGCTTTTGTAAGTTCATTCTCATTGCAAAATTTCGAATTTCGGATTAAATGAAATAGAGTAGATTGATAAACGACATTCGTGGTTGAAGTATGCTGTATTTAAGATTTAAAGTCTAGAAAGAGCTTTCACGAAAATTGAGACTGAATTTCATTCTCGCTCCGTAACTTAACTGGTTTTTAATAACAGATTTGTGTATAGTTCCCGAATCTTTAGTTTTTCTTTTTTTTTCGATAATAAATTGGATAATTTTTAGGGACAATAAATTAGTAAATAAGTTACTTTAAACTTATTATAGGGATCGTTTACGATATGCAAAAATGATGGTAGAACGACTGATGTCTGCACATCCCGCGCGACCATTTTTGTCCACGCTTACCTCAGTGACACGTTCCTCTCCAAGTACTGCTGGAAATTACTGAAAGAAGCAGAAACTTATTCTCGTTTTTTATGGAAGTTATGAAGATGAACTAATGTATCTGCCGGCATTTCGATGCTAGTAAAACGTATCATTTCTATGCAAGTTATTGGCATCCTATCTTATATTTATCCGTTTTATAGTGTACGCCGTGTAGTACCATTATTATACATTCATTGTACTGAAATTATAACTGAGAATGAACCGTGAACAACGCAATTCTTCGATATTTGATAGAGAGGCAGTTTTGAGATCGTTACTTGAAATGTTGGTAAAATTTTTTGGTTATATAACAATCATAGCTGCTTTTCCTCTTTCCTGCCTTTTTTATAATAAACAGTTCTGCCAGGTTTTTGGTAAAATAATTAAACTTATTTTTTGGCCATTTAAAACCATGATAACGCGGAATAATAGAAATGTTTTGTTTCCTGTTTTTTAAGTCCAAAATTGTGACTTCCCAATTTTTTCCTCTATTTCTTGGATATACCATGTCAAAACAATTTTTTGGCTGATCATATCTTCATGCTCAACTTTACAAATGTTATCACAAGGAAAAAATAGTTTTTCTTGTATAATGGATTGAAGTGCAGTTGACTTTTATTTTCTGGAGAAAATTCTTATATTATTTAAATCTCTAGCAATGAAATTTCGGTCTCAAAAGAAGTTATCATAATTTAATATGTATTGGATTATTAGTAAATAGCTAATAAATAATTTTGGCATGGGAAAATCAGAAATTATTAGTGAACGCATTTATTGTCTGGGCGAAGGGGATGTTTCAAAAATAAATTTCATATGATCTCGTTGGGAAATGTTTCATGAATGAATTAGTTGATGGTGCCGGCAGTTGTGGCGTATTTGACGTTTCTTAATTTTGTTGTTTTAAATAATGCTATTTTTTATTCGTTAATTCTCGCTTACACTCTTCCTTCATTTCTTCTAATGATATATGCAATGATCAAACTGCTAGCTCTAATTGTTAAGAATGTTGGCATGGTTCGTAAGCATTTTTTCAAGTTGATAAATACAACGCAATCACATCACCAACAAATTGCTTTCAGTTACGCAACGAACATTTGCTATAAGAAACATCCATAAAGGTTCGCACATTGCGCTTTTGATGAAATATTCCAATTTCAGAATAATAAAGGAACCGAACGGATTATTATTTCTTCACCGCTTCAGTAATCTCTCCGTAATCAATCATATATTGTAAACTTTAGTATATACTACATATAATGGACATTCGTGAGGAGGAGCGCTTGTGAGGATAGCTTTTGATGATATATTTATTTTAAGATAACTAAACCATTGTTAGTTTTGCATATTTTTCAAGTTAAGTTTTCATTTAAAATTATTTTGAAATTAGAAAGATCTATTACAAAATTGAAAACCCTGAGCTCAGCTGTAATCCATACCTGTGCTATTATGTTATCATTAAAGTTGTTGTGTAATTATCTAATTGATATGAATATTAGGAATGACTCCATATATTCTAAATAGTCTGTACTAGAGGGAATCTTCTAACTTGCCTATCATAATGCTAACAACTTCTGTATGGACACTATATAAGTGATATGTTGATTGAGAAACAACCAACAGGGAACACTCGTTGCAGAAAATTTCATTTTTTTTTTTGGTTTCCGAAAAACGATAGCGAATATGTGAAAAACGATAGCGAGTACGAATATGTAATAATAGTGATAAAGGAATTGTGATAACATTGATTAAAAAAGTTACATTCACGTGGAAACATTTTTGAATTGGTAAATAGTATGATAAACAGGGAAAAGAAGGGATGAAGTGGCGATACTATGTTAGATATTCTAAAAATTCGACATAGCAGAAATTGGCAAAATTGATTTTGATGAGATACTTTAAATTGCAAACGCAACAATAAAAATATGACAAGTAAATCAGAGAAAGAATATTAGCAGGGTCATTCATTGTGTCATTTACTATATATACATTATTAATATCGAGATTTTCCAAAGAATTGGAAAGACATTTAGTTTATTCTAATTAGGCTTGTATATAAATGATCATTTAATGTTCTTGTATGTATCATGGGTATTAGTTACTGCTTTAGCAAAAAATATTGCGATAATAAGGTTACGCATATTTTTTTCCAATTAACAATTGCTTAATTACTAGAAAGATTTTTTGGCTTAAATTAGAAGCTTTTGGACAAAAGTAGATTCAAATTAGGCCAGATTTGAGCTAAAATAAATCCCTTAGATTCATTAAAGTAACATATGTCAAAGAGACAGTTGTAACGGGTATAAGATGGAAAGAGTAAGCTAAAAATATGCGGTACATAATGTTCTAACAAACTACTCGTCTCTTTTAACTGTACCGCTTAAAGAAGCATACCGTCTTGTTAAAGGTAATAGACAAGGTCAATGAGATTAGCTTCATCTTTAACATCTGCTGACCAGTGAGAGAAAGGATAGGAATGAGAAGAACCGCTGACCGTATATTACATTTATCACCTGGACGGATATGAACAAACATTATTACAACAGCGTATTAATTCTGTAATCCAATACTGTGTAATGATAGGTGTATTTTTCATGTAGTACTGCTAATTGAAACCATAATATATTTTAATTTATCAAATTCAATATTAAATATTAAACATGATAAAAGTTTTAGAAACGCTTGGAAACATTGTGCTTTCATGTGCGTTACTAATTTCTTCAAAATATATAAAGCATTTTTAAATCATTTTAAGACATTTTAAAATTTAAATACATCTTAACGAATTTTATTTCATGTAGGAGCTTTAAATTTAATTGCTATAGGTGGATATAAAATGAAGAGTTGTGTACCGATCTGATAAGACATTAATGATTCATTTTATTAAGAATCGTTTTTTAACTACTAATCTCAGTTTTGCTCAATACCGCCATTTTATACATGTGTCGCCAAATAATGACTGATTTAGACGACTGATTGGTTTTTCCATGGTATCATTTTATTGGACTTGTGAGGGTTGAAAATGTTATTTGCGGTCGTTAAGTTAGTTTAGCAAAAAGATTCACATTTTTGAAGTATTGAAGAGAAGATTTAATGATCTTTTGTTAAAGAACACATTGTCGGGTAAGTTTTTAGGAGGTCATTCAGGAGATGAATATGTGACCCTTCAACAACAGTAAGCGGATTTGTCTTCTATGTTTTAAAATACTTTTCCATGCATATTTAACTCTTTAATATACTTATCTGAGTGTCATTTTTTGTCGCTCATTTAACGTCTCGTTTTTTTTTAGCATGAATCACTTAATGACTGATCGATTTTATCACTTCAATTTCTTCATAATTCATCAAATTTTATTACTTTTCAATAATTTGCCTGGATCTAATTTCAATCAATTTTACTGTTCCTGATTAATTTCGAGAATTTTTTCTGAAAATATTTTATGGAACGATAATTCTTCGTATTTTGCTATTGTTTAAAAAAGTTTTGCAAGAAATATGGAAAGCGATGCTTATCACTACATAATCTAATTATTATCGCTACATGAAGGATGGAAATTATTCAAATTAACTAATGACCACTTCATTTTTAAGATACCATTAAGGGTTATTCTTGCTCTTTTTCTTTGAAATATTGTATCGCATTACATTCCGGAAATGATATTAACTATAAAAATATTATATTATAAATTAATTCAATATTTATAACGCAATTACTATGGTAATCTGATCGCTTTTACATCTTTCTTATCCCTAGTTAAGTAATATTTACCACTTAGCGGGACGAAGAAGAAAAGGGTGCATGAACTTTTGATGACCTTCAAGAAAGATTCCATCAATCAATCATTACCCAATGCAATTTTATCTTCCGGTCATAAATCCTCGAAAAATAAGCAGTTGGCACCCATATTGAATACCTTATCATATGTCATCACTTATCATTAATTATCTTTCCCCAGTATTTTGATAATACAATAATGAGACAGCCAACGTAATAGACAAAGATAGTTGTAAAGAATTTTCCGGATTTTAGCAGAATAAATTATTCCGGTGCAAATTTTTTCTTCATGTAATAAATGAATAAGTTATACTGCAGAAGAAAATGCGATCAATAAATTTAACTTCATTACGATATTTCAGGAGTGATACGATATTTGTTGAAAGTTTCTCATTTTCAAGAAACAATTAACGATGCGGAACAGTTTGGATAATTGCGCATCTGTTGATGCATTCGTTTCACTCAACTAACAGTGGACAGATTGAATATGTTTGCATTATTCTTCATCCAACCATTTTTTAACGACAAACTTTAAATGTACGATACTAAGCGCTTCATCCAAAAATAAATTTTCTGCCTAATTTTTTTTTTTTTGATTATTGTATTTCGAACTTTTAGTTCTAATGCTTACTTGTGTAGTCTTAACTTAGTAAATCCTTGAGCAATTTAAATTTGCCTTGCCATAATTCTGTATAACTCATTCTTAAAGGTTTAAGTAAGATAAATGAATTCCGAACTTAAATTGTATTTCGATTCTTTTTTCAAATTCAATTTCTAATTTTTGTAATAAAAGCGCTAATACATTGATTTGATTCTATTTTGCTATTCTTATAATCCATGTTAAATCGAAAAGTGAAGAAAGAAAAGGTCAGGAGAAGATGATAATAGTGAAAAGTCATTTGTAAATATCATAACGTTTTAATTAAATGTTTAAAGGAAAAGACGAAATTGAATTATGTAAATTAAATTATTTCAATACATTAGTTAATAGCAGTAATCTTCTCTAGACAAAATACATTTTTCCAATGATTTCTGATTTTTCAGCTATCTGCAATTGAAACTGATAAAACCCTATTTTCTTAATCAATATTTTGCATTACTAATTTGATATACGTTTATATTGGATAAAATTTTGAATTCTGGATTTCATTGCAGAACTTTCTTTCATAGGTAAATATATTTTAAAAGAGAGAATGCTTTTCAAATTATATTAGGTTAGATTAGAACTATCTTGCATCTATCACATCATA